CAGAAAAAGAACACCACAGACAAATATCTTTGATGAATACAGATGGAAAAGTTCTAAAAATACTGGTAAACTGAACACAACAATACAGTTTTAAAAGGATGCATCACATCAAGTGGGGTTCTTTCCAGGGGAAGACACGTATAGAGGAAGTACCTCAGCATGATAAAGGACATATATAAGAAACCTTCAGATAATATAATACTTAATGGTGAAAAACTGAAAGCTTTTCCTTTAATATCAATGGAATGAGACAAGAATATCCACTCTCATCATTCTTCATTCAACCTAGTACTAGAAGACATAGAGGTATCGGACAAGAGAAAGACATCCAAATTGGGAATGAAGAGGTAAATTGTCACTTTCTGCACATGACTATATTCTTTACGTAGAAAAACACCTTAAAGTCTTTACACAAAATCTACTATGAACAAAAAAGTACAATAAAGTTGCAGCATACATGATCAATATGCAAAAATTTATTGCATTACTGTATACTAACAAACAAACTCCTGAAAAAGAATTGGAAAAACAAAAACTTCCTTTTGCAGTTGCAAAAAAAGGAATAAAATACTTTGGAATAATTTTAACAAAGGATGTAAAGGACCTGTATGTTCAAAACTACAAGATATCATTTTTTAATATATTTTATGAATTATGCCATTACAGTTTTCCCATTTACCCCCTTCACTCCCCTCCACCCTGCACACCCCCCATTCCCCCCCTTTAGTTTATGACCATGTGTCTCAAGTTCTTTAGATTCTGTATTTCCCATACTATTCTTGCTCTCCCCCTATCTATTTTCTACCTACCATCTATGCTACTTATTTTCTGTACCTTCTCCCTTCTTCTTCTCCCACTCCCCTGTTCTTAACCCTCCACGTGATCTTCATTTCTATGGTTCTGCTCCTGACCTAGCTGTCCTCTTAGTTTTGCTTTTGTTTTAGGTGTGGTTGTTAATAACTGTGAGTTTGCTGTCCTTTCACTGTTCATCTTTTTTATCTTCTTTTTCTTAGGTAAGTCCCTTTAACATTTCATATAATAAGGGCTTGGTGATGATGAACTCCTGGAACTTGATCTTATCTGAGAAGCACTTTATCTACCCTTCCATTCTAAACGAAAGTTTTGCTGGATATAGTAACCTTGGTTGTAGGTGTTTGGATTTCATGACTTGGAATACTTCTTTCCAGCCCCTTCTTGCCTGTAAGATATCTTTTGAGGAATCTGCTGACAGTCTAATGGGAACTCCTTTGTAGGTGACTGTCCCCTTAGCTCTTGCTGCTTCTAGGATTCTCTCCTTCATTTTAACCTTGGCTAATGTAATGATGATGTACCTTGGTGTGTTCCTTCTTGGGTCCAACTTGTTTGGGACTCTCTGAGCTTCCTGGATTTCCTGGAAGTCTATTTCCTTTGCCAGATTAGGGAAATTCTCCTTTATTATTTGTTCCAATAAGTTTTCCACTGGTGGCTGTGCCTTTCCCCCTTCTGGTACCCCTATAATTCGCATGTTGGAGCGTTTAAAGATGTCCTAGAGGATCCTAAGTCTCCTTTTTTTTGAATTCTTATTTCTTCATATTTTCCTGTTTGGTCATTTTTTCCTTCCTTCTGGTCCACTCCCTTGATTTGAGTCCCAGTTTCCTTTCCATCACTATTGGTTTCCTGTGCATTTTCCTTCATTTCAGTTAGTTTAGCCTTTTTGTGTTCCTCTAATTTGTGACTAAAATCAACCAGTAATGTGAGTATCCTGATCACCAGTGTTTTGAACTGTGCATCTGAAAGTTTCGCTATTTCTTCATCACTTAGAGTTATGGGCTCTGGGGCTTTGAGATCTTCTTGAGCCATGTTTTGGTCTGTTTGCACCCATTAAGTATGAAGAGCAGAGCCTTAGGGGCGGGGCGGGGTCACTTGGTTGTGACACTTTATGTGGTGGCGGGGTCAGAGTGGGGAAATGGTGGCCCTCTCTGCTGCCTCCTGCCCCTGGGGCTTGCTTGGTCTCATCTCACTGCCCACTTCCTCACCGGTCTGTCTCACACAACCAAGTTTAGAGACAACAAAATATTAGCAATAGAAAACACAGCCAGAACACAGAAAATCGAACTTTTCAGATGTCTGATAACAAAGAATTCTTTAGCCTGGCCGGTAAGAGGGGCAAAGCCAGAAGCTGGCAGAGCGGGGTTACACAGGAAAACTCGGTCAGAGGAATGCGCCACCACAGTCAACCCTGCGCCCTCACTGGGTCCACCGGTCACTCACTGGGTCCGCCCTTTGCAACCCCACTCCTGTGATCCGCGTGCCTGAGTCCGTCTGACCCTCAGAAGGGGAAGAGGAACAGCCACCAGTGGAAAACTTATCGGAACAAATAATAAAGGAGAACTTCCTCAATCTGGCAAAGGAAATAGACTTCCAGGAAATCCAGGAAGCTCAGAGAGTCCCAAACAAGTTGGACCCAAGAAGGAACGCACCAAGGTACATCATCATTACATTAGCCAAGGTTAAAATGAAGGAGAGAATCCTAGAAGCATTAAGAGCTAAGGGGACAGTCACCAACAAAGGAGTTCCCATCAGACTGTCAGCAGATTCCTCAAAAGATATCTTACAGGCAAGAAGGGGCTGGAAAGAAGTATTCCAAGTCATGAAATCCAAAGACCTACAACCAAGATTGCTCTATCCAGCAAAGCTTTCATTTAGAATGGAAGGGCAGATAAAGTGCTTCTCGGATAAGATCAAATTCAAGGAGTTCATCATCACCATGCCCTTATTATATGAAATGTTAAAGGGACTTATATAAGAAAAAGATAAAAAAATACGAACAGTGAAAGGACAGCAAACTCACAGTTATTAACAACCACACCTAAAACAAAAGCAAAACTAAGAGGACAGCTAGATCAGGAGCAGAACCATAGAAATGCAGATCACATGGAGCGTTAGCAACAGGGGAGTGGGAAGAGGAGAAGGGGGGAGAAGGTACAGAAAATAAGTAGCATAGATGGTAGGTAGAAAATAGACAGGGAGGAGGGCATGAATAGTATGGGAAATATAAAATTAAATAATTTGTGACACCTGGACATAAACGAAATGGGGGGAATGGTGGGGGAGGGGTGTGGAGGGTGGAGAAGAAAGAAGGGGGAAATAGAACAACTAATGGCATAATCAATAAAATATATTTTTAAAAATAATAAAATATAAATAAATAGAAGAATGTGAAAAAAATTAAAAATCCTGCTATGCAAATGGTCCTATGTAAAGGATGAAAAAAGTTATAGACAGATTTTTCAAACCACTTAATTAACAAAAGCAACTAGAATATATAAAGAACTTTTTAAACTCAACAGCCTTAAAAAAAAACAGGAGAAAATTGGAAAGACCTAAATAAATGTTTACCAAGGAGACAATCAGATAACAGATAAGCACATGAAAATGTGCATCATCATTAGGCAAGTACAAATTAAAATTACAATGAGACATTACTACATGTCTATTGAAATAGGTAAAACAGAAAAACAACAATACCAGATGCTGGTGAAGGTATAGAGAAACTGGATCTCTTCATGTATTGCTGTTAGAAATGTAAAATGGACAACCAGTCTGGAAAAACATTTAGCAGTTTCTTTAAACATGCTTTCCACAGTGATCCAGCAGTTGCACTCCAGAGTATTTAGTCTAGATTAATGAAGGTTGAATTGTTCCCCAGAACACTTCTACACAAATGTTTTTATAGTAGGCACTTTCATAATAGCCCCAAGCTGGAAACAACCCAGATGTTCTTCACAGGTGATGGTGCACAAACTATTGTGCTATCACACCATGGAACTTGACTCAGCAATAAAAAGAAAGAAACCATTGGTTAACATAAGAACCTGGGTAGCCCTGGCTGGTGTAGCTCAGTGGATTGAGCACAGGCCTGCGAACCACACGATCGCAATTCAATTCCCAGTCAGGGCACATGTCTGGGTTGCAGGCCGATTCCCTGCAGGCCAGTTCCCAGTGGGGGACGCACAAGAGACAACCATACATTGATGTTTCTCTCCCTCTCTCCTTCCCTTCCCCTCTAAAGATAAATAAATAAAAATCTTTATAAAAATTTTTAAAAAGAACCTGGGTGAACCTTAGATTTATGCTGACTGAAAAAAGTCGCAAAAGGGTACACCTAACATATTATTTCATTTTTATAATTCTTGAAGTGATAAGTGACAGAAGTGGATAATAGATTGCACATTAGAGGTTAAGTAAGGAGCAGGGAGTTAAGGGATTAAGGGTAGATTTTAAAGGACAACACAAGAGATTCTGGTGATCAAATTGTTCTGTGTCTTTTTTTTTTTTTTCTTTTATCTTTAGAGGTAAAGGAGAGAGGGAGAGAAATATCAATGTACAGTTGCCTCTCATGCGTCCCCTGCTGGGAACTGGCCTGCAACCCAAGCCAGTCTTGTGCCCTGACTGGGAATCGAACCTCAATCCTCTGGTTCACAGACTCGAGCTCAAGCCACTGAGCTATACCAGCCAGGGCTTGTTCTGTGTCGATTGCCTGTGTCAGTACCCTGATTGTGGTACTGTACTATGTAGTTTTATGTTAGTTGTGGTAAACTGGGTACAGAGTCTAGGGTATCTCTATTACTATAGCTGCATGTGACTTATTAATTATCTCAAAATACTTAAATCAATAAAATGTGTAATTAAATCTAAGGTATACGAGTAATCAATATCAAGGACCGCTTGAGAGTATTATTTTTAAGTTAAATGGTATATTTGACCATTCTGTGTCCTAGGGATTTACAAATAGTGTGGAATGAAAAATGAGGGTCATAAAGACAAAAGTTTGAATCTAGAAAAACGTTGCCTGATGGAGTTCCATTTTTGGAACAAATCTACCCGTAATTGCCAAAGTACATACTAAGACTGCATATGCTTAAAAGGAAAGAAAGTCAAGCTTGCACACCCTGTTTTCCTTTACTTTTCATTCAAAGTTACCTTTTTCTTCAGTTTTACTTATATTTGTGCCTTTTTAGGTGGAGTATTGCTTCTGGAAAATCCAAAAGGTGATAATAGGTTAGACCTTTTAAAGCTGAAGAGTGTTGTTAATAGCATTTTCGGTGTGAAAAATACAGAGTTGGCTGTCTTCCATGGTGAAACAGGTATGTGCAAGTTATCTTTAATCTTTCACATAAGGTGGATTGTTAAAAATATGAGTCAGGCTGGACTGTTCAGCAGTACCTTCCTGAAATGTGCCTGTGTCTCCATTCTATGCATGAAAAACAAACACCATACTTATTAGGAGATGAAATCTCCCATCCTACCTTCTCACCGGTTTTTCATGTGATAGGTTCTGGGCTTCAGGGACTTCCCTGGAGAGTTTTAACTTTCTTAAACAATAGTACCTGTGTCTTGCTAAAGCCATAGGATAAGCTAAACTCAGTAAGATAAGCCTAAATAAATTTCTTTTTAAAATTGTAAGTACATTCTCTCCCACTGTCATGGGTTAAAATGTGAGACACAGCCTGCCCCACCCTCTACCCCCAAAATGCATTTCAAAGTAAAATATATTACTTTATCCATAGTACCACTGACCTTCTTTCTAAATAGGGTTGTTGGAGAGGTAATTAAGGTAATGTAAGGTGGGTCCTACTACAGTGTGACTGATATCTTTACATGAAGTTGGTGAAGACACAGAGGCACGTTGTGATGACAGGCATAGATTGGAATTATGCAGCTGCAAGCCAAGAAACACAAAAGATTGGTAGGGGCCTCCCCAAGCTAGGAAGAGAAAGGGAAGGATTCCCCACAGGTGTCAGAGGAAGCAAGGTCCTACTGATAGCTGGATTATAGACATCTTGCCTCCAGAACTATTTGGTTTTTTAAGCCCTTTAGTTTATGGTTCTTGTAGCACCTGTAAGGAAACGAATACACTCCGAATGCTTATTTTCAGAAACTTTTAAATAGCCTAAAAGAGAACATTTAAATGGTCAATAACTAAAGGCATACCTGCTGAACCTCAACAGTAAACACCACAGTGAGGTACTATTACTTGCCACCACATTGGCAAAAACTAGAAAAACTTCACAGATTTAATGTTTGTCGAGGGTATTGTGTAGTAGGAACTCACATTCACTGGACTGTAAATGGATAGAACCACAATGAAAAATCATGCAGTCCTATCTGTTCGAGACTGAAAAAGGGAAGCAAAAGTAATATGGAAAAAACCTGGTATTTCTAAAGGTGTGGATGAGAGTGGTTAGTTGGAGCATCTGAGAAAAATCTCTGACCAGTATCCACCAGGGGGTACTGATAAGTAAGTCAGCTGAAGGATTAGGTTTCCATCTGAAGTCACTGTAGGATGAGAAGTAGATGTAGTCAGGGACAGACTACAACTCATCTGTCTAGCCACTTCTAACAATGACAGTTTGGACCTGCAGAAGAAGCTCTGCAAGAGAGTTGCTCATGTGCTTGGCCCAGAAGTTGGAAGAATTGAAGCCTGTGAAAGCCGGGTGGTGCCTGCGCCCACATTGACTTAAGCGTAGTAGTTGTAACTAAACTGTCGTTTCAAATCCTGTGCACCTTTCTCTGGGAAACTTTTAGCTTAGCTAAGTTAGCAGAGTTAAGTCTTCCACAGTCTAGACCTTGTGGTATCTCCCCTGGCAGGCATCTATCCTGGCTGAGCAAGGCTGTGTTTTATTAGGACTTTATTTATATAAACAGGAAACCAGCCAGGAGTCATAGTCTCCGTATCCTGGTTTAAAGCATGAACGGTGTCTTGGAAGACAGTGTCACAGCCTTGTCATCTGTTGGCACCCATGTGGTACTAAAACTGAGATTTTTAAAAGGCTACTCCAATCGGACCTCGTCAAGTCAAAAAGCTTCTGCACGGCTAAAGAAAACAGCATTAAAATGAAAAGAGAACCAACTATATGGGAAAACATATTTGCCAGTGATACCTTGGACAAGGGTTTTATCTCCAAAATATATAAAGAACTCACACGACTCCACTCTAAGAAGACAAACAACCCAATTAAAAAATGGGCAAAGGACCTAAACAGACAATTCTCCAAGGAGGACATACAGAGGGCCCAGAGACATAAGAAAAGATGCTCAGCATCACTTGCCATCAGACAGGTGCAAAATAAAACCACAATGGGATACCACTTCACACTGTTCAGAATAGCTATCATAAATAAAGCAACAAACAAGTGTTGGAGAGGATGTGGAGAAAAGGGCACTGTTGGTGGGAATGAAGACTGGTGCAGCCAATGTGGAAAACAATATGGAATTTCCTCAGAAAACTAAAAATGGAATAGCCTTTTGACTCAGCAGTCCACTGCTAGGATTATATCCTAAGAACCCTGAAACACCCATCCTAAAGAACCTACTCACCCCAATGTTCATAGCAGCACAATTTACAGTAGCCAGGTGCTGGAAGCAACCTAAGTGCCCATCAGTAAACAAGTAGATCAAAAAGCAATGGTACATTACAGAATGGAATACAACCAGCAAAAGGAAAGAAGGAGCTGCTAGTCTTCACAACAGCATGGATGGAACTGGATAGCATTATACTAAGTGAAATAAGCCAGGTGGTAAAAGAAAACTGCCATATGATCTCACCTTTTAACTGGAATATAATCAACAAAACAAACAAGCAAAATATATAACCAGAGACACTGAAATTGAGAACAAACTGACAGTAACCAGAGGGGAGGTGGGAGGGAGGGTGTTTTCAGGAACAACTATAAAGGACACGTAGACAAAATCAAGGGTGGGGGTGGGACCAGGGGAGGGGGTGGGTTTGGCTCTGGTGAGGAGGGTAGTTGGTGAGGGGGGAAATTCAGACAACTGTAATTGAATAATAATAAAATATTTTTTTAAAAAGCCACCATTGTTCTAGACCAGCTGCTTCTTCTTGATGCAGAACGTAGTATGGCCAGGGAATTCCCTGAATATACACATCTTGCCATATCTCAAGTTCTTTAGTCAGAAGAAATACTGTGTAAGGTGCCGTAGGACACCTCAAATAGGACATTCCCAAAGTTCATGGATGATGGGTTTGATAGAAGCATTTCAGGCAACCAAGACTAACCCATACCTCCAACAAATGTCTATACCAGTAAGAATAAAGCACTACATTTTCCATGATGGAAGTGGCCCAGTTACCAATCTGTCATTGGGTTCTCTACTCATCATCTGGCAATAATGTGATATTGGGAGCTTAGTAATGGTCCTGATGTTAGCAGATATACTGTACCAACTACCAAAACCATTATTTAGAGTGAAATCCATGTTGCTAAGCCCATGTGAAATCTACCTAGCCAGAATGGACCCTTTGTTTAACTCTATTAGGAAAGAACAGGAGTGGTTGGAGAAAGGCAGACTGACTTCGACAAAACAGGTGACACTGTCCACCTGATTTTTAGGATCCTCATTCACGGTCTGCTCATTTGCAGCAGTCTTTCTACATACCTTTGCCCTGACTTCCTTGTCACCAGTTTTTGAGTTCTGTTCTTTCCAAGTCCATGGTCATTCCCAGTCAGTCAAACTATTAGCCATTGCCCATGGACGAGTGTAGATCCATTCCTCTGGCCATCCCACCTGAGTAAAATAAACAGCCGCCTTGAATGAACTTGTACCCACTAATTGGATTCCTGTCAACATTGTTCTTCAGGGTTACCCAGAGTCAGTGGGTATGCAGGACTGCAGTCATCTATCTGCAATAGTGCGGCACATTGTGCAGAGCCACTCACACAGCACACATGATATACTTTCTTTGTCAACTGGTGAATCCTCAGGAAGCCATAGGTGTGGGTCAGGAGAGGAGCCCTGTGGCTCCAGGCTGGTCATGAGCGTTTAACCACTAGGTAGAACAGGTCCTTGAGGGTCTTACCCAGTCTGGTTTCATATCCACCAGTTCCATTCCCCATCCTCAGTCACAGTCAATACCTGTCACTCATCTATGTTTACATTACTTAGCAGTGTTTAACTTTCTATAAATAAAATTATATTGCACGTGTTTTATGTGTCTTGCTATTTTCCACATATGTTCATGAGTCCAAAAACTTGTTTTCTTACTATGGTTATTATTCTTAGACACCTGGATCTTTTCATGGTGAAACCTGGGGTTCTCAGGAGGAAATTTTAAGAAAGCTACACTGTAATATACAGTTGACCCTTGAAAAATATGGGTTTTATGGATACTGATCCCCCCACCCCATCCCATGCTTCTGGTAAAAAATCTCAATAGAATTTGTGCAGTCAACCCTTCACCTTTACAGACTCAACCAACTATGGACGGAAAACAGTATTTTCCATCCAATTGGTAATACAAAACTACTGTTTTCAATACCCAGATGCAAAACCTACAGACACAAAAGACTGACTATATATTTTCAAATTTTTTAATGTAAGTTCGCCTAGTTCAAACCCATGTTGAGTTCAAGAGTCAGCTATACAGGGAAAGAATGAAAGAGGGATAGAAGAGTTGGCCTGTATTTTAGATGGTAAATATGCTGTTTTGCATCAATAGCATTGTCTATTAATTGCATGTCATTACAACCTGATTTTATAATAAAGGCAGCATCTTTTGATAAACATACAAAAATATCACAAAATACATGTATGTGGTAGTTTAAAAGATGAAAAGTAAATGACTTCAGCTCTGAAAGAATGATATCTTGTTACTCTTGTTACTTTTAGAAATACGAAATCAAACTAACTTACTGAATCTTAGTGGGAAAACACTGTGTGTGACTGCAGGATCAGCTCCCTCTCTGATTGACAGTCCTAATACTCTTCCCTGTCAGTATATCAACCTACAGCTTGTAAACGCAAACCCACAAGGTACGTGCCTCTCCTAGCTATGTATACCGTCCTCAGGTGAATTGTGGGGTTATGGGTGATAAAGTTTACTTTAATGTTCAACCTCTCTGACTTATGTGGATTTTACAGTTTGGCTTTAAGGTAATAATATAAGTGTAGATTCCCACCCTGCTTAAGGGTGCACACACAGGTTTATTTCATTTGATATATTTGTGTAGAAACAACTTTATCTATTAGACATGTTAAAGAAATGATATAAACTGGTTAGGTAAAAGTTAGAGCTAGATGAGGCTAAATTGTTTAAATGCTAAAACATTTTAATTTAGCCTTTTTTAGAAAAAATTTTTATTGATTTTTTAGAAGGTGGGGGAGCAGAGACATCAGTTTGTTGTTTCACTTTTACTTATTTTAATTTTAAATATTTTATGTTATTTTGTTGCAGTTATATCAGTTTTCCCCTTTAGTCTGCCTCCACCCAGCCCACCCTCTACTCCAGAGTCATTCCCTACCCTGTTGATCATACCCATGAGTCATTCATACATGGCCCTTGATTAGTCCCTCCTCCCTGGTTGCTATCAGTGTTCCATTTTTCCATGCTTCTGGTTCTATTTTGTGCATTTGTTTATTTTGTTCATTAGCTTCCTCTTACAAGTGATACCATATGGTATTTGTCTTTCATTGAATAGCTTATTTCGCTTATCATAATATTCTCCAGTTCTATCCACTCTGTCAGGAAGGGTAGGAGCGCCTTTATTTTCTGCTGTGTAGTATTTCATTGTGTAAATGTATCACCATTTTTTGATCCACTCATTTACTGATGGGCACTTAGGCTGTTTCTAGCATTTAGCTATTATAAACAGGGCCTCTATGAACATAGGGCACTATTTATAAGTTCTTTCAACTGCTGTTTAAGGATATTTAGGGTATATCCCTTGCAGTGGCATTGCTGAGTCAAACAGCAGTTCCATTTTTAGTTTTCTGAGGAAATTCCATACTCTTCTTTTCTACAGTGGTTGCACCAGTCTGCATTCCCACCAACACTGCAGTAGGGTTTCCTTTTCTCCACATCCTGGCCAGCACTTATTTGTTGATTTATTAATGAAGGCCATTCTGACAGGTGTGAAATGGTATCTCATTGTGGTTTTACTTTGCATCCCTCTGATGGATAGTGATATTGAACATTTTTTCATGTCTGGGTAATTTTCTTTGCCAAGTTAAGAAAATTTTCTGTCACTACTTTTTCAAACAAGTTTTCTATCCCTTGCTCCTCTTCTTTTTTTTTCTGGTATCCCTGTGATACGGATATTATTACATTTCATGCTGCCCTGCAATTCCCTTAAGCTATCTTCTTTCTTTTTGTGTCTTTCTTCATTTTGTTGCTGTTTTGGTGTTTTTTTTCTACCTTGTCTTCCAACTCTGATTCGATCCTCTGCTTTATCTAGCCTGCTTTTAATTCCTTCTAGTGTATTCTTCATTTCAGATACTGTATTCATTTTCTCCTGGCTCTTATTGATAGTTTCTATGCCCTTTTTTATGCTGATATAGTTCCCAGTAAGTTCCTTGTAGCTTCCATAGTGTTCCTTATAGTTCTCACTGAGCTACTGTAGCATCTTTATAACCATTATTTTGAACTGTATGTCTGTTAGATCACTTGCTTCAATTTCATATAGCAGTCTTTCTGGGGATTCCTCATTTCCTTTCAATTGGCATGTTTCTTCTTCTCCCCATTTTAGGTGACTCTTCTTGTTTATTTTCTGCAACTTAGATTGATCTGCTTTGACTCCTTGTCATGGGGTATTGTTCTATGGTAGGAGACTTTGGGACTCAGTAGTGCAGTCTCCTTGGATCTCCTGAGCTGGAAATTCTTTGGATGTCCTTTATGCCATTTATTTGTGCTCCCTTGTTGTAACTGGGTTTTGGTTGTTGTGTTGTTGTTTGGTGGGTATTTCCCTCTGGCTGTCTGACTTCTTGGCTGGCTGAGAGGCACACTGCCCACCATGTCTTATATGCTGGGCAAAACAAAACAAAACAACCCAGGATACAAAACCCACACCTGTAAAAAAAACCCATCCACAACCACACTATCATTAGCATATGAGCAAATATTTAAGAAAGATATAAGGAAATTAAGACTTATTTAAAAAATATGAGATGACTAAGTGAAAGAAAAATGATTTTGAGAGGGTAGAAGGAGGAGAAATAATAAGACTAGGGAATAGAAATAAGATGAAGAAAGCAAGAAAAAATATTTTTCAATGTAAATTAAAAAGGAGGTAAAGAAGGCAAAATGGATTAAGAAAAGAGTATAGTATGAGGTTTCTAAAAAAAAAAATTGTTTAATAGTGACTAAGAACCAAATTGAAAGAAAAGGTTCACCACAACAATATCCACCACAAATGAGGAAAGATTAATACAGGTGGAATAGGAATAAGATGGGGAAAAGGGAAAGAAAAAAAGCTTATGAGCTCTAAAGGAAAGAAAAGTGATTTTGACAGGTTAAAGTGTGAAGAAATACAAATGAGGAATGAGCACCAGGCTAAGAGGATAAAAGTAAAGTTTAAAACAAACAAACAAAAAAGGTAAGAGCAGGAGGAAGATAAAATGGAATAGGTGAGGGGAATGACAAAATTTGAGATTTGAAATATAAAAATAGTTAAGATCTAGGAATAAAATGGAATATATGCAGCAACCACTGTGTCAGAATCCAATCAGCAAAGATTTGTAATGGTGGAGAGAGAATAAAGGTATTTTAAGAACAGGAAAAAAGGATGTGAGTTGCCTAATGACATGAAAATGGTTTTCAGAGGCTGGAGACAGGAGAAATAATGAGAGTGTAGACTAGAAACCAGCTGTATCAAGAGAGAAAATAAAATTTAAAACAAAACTGATCAGAGGAAGGAAGAAGATGGAATGCAGTAAGAGAAGGGAGGTACAAATTACGAAATTTGAAGTAAACTAAATTTTTTTTTAAATGGTGAAATCATAGGAACAAACTTGAAGGACAAATAATATTAAAAAGCTGTGCAGGAGAAAGAATAATGCCAATAATGAGTAAGACTACAGTGCAGTTCATCTCAGCAGAGCCCAGTGTTTGCCACTGTCTTCTCTTTCTGGATCTGTTCCTGGTAATGTCTGACAGTGTCCTAATCTAACCCTAGGCAACCTGTTTGCCACTATAAGCAATCCACATTCTGTGGCTCTCTCCTTCAGGCTTGGGTGGCACCAGTGTCCTGCTCTGTAAACTTTCCATCAGCACAGGGCCCAGGAGTGGTTCCTTTAATGACCTGAGAGGGCTGCCAGTCCTTCCTCCACCTGGTTCCAGTGGGGACCTCTGGTGTTATTGGCAGGGTGGGAACCCTGGTCACCCCCAGGGGGTGCTGTTCATTCTTCAGGGAAGATGGTGGGAATGTTACCCCACCCCTTCACCACATGTCTTGGTGTGTCCCATATTCTTTCCAATAATGTATGGTTTCTGGTAAGTTAGCTGTCCGTTTCTTGTAAGGCATCAATATGTGTAAAGGAGGCAACTCTTTCCTGCTTGATGCAGACAGCAGCTCTAAGAGCTGGAGCTAAGTGGGGCCTTGAACACCTCTTGTGCCTATCTCTAATCTCTCTGCTGTGCTGCTTGCAGTTGATCAGGGCCGGAGGAACAGTGTTACTTTTAGTCTGGTAGAAAGGGCTATTTCAGATCTTTTCCTTTTTTTCCCCCTGTGGATATGCACCCAGTAAGGGGCTCCCTGAGCCTGGGCTTAACTGATCTGCAAAGCCTATAATCCCACAGGTGGGGGTTGGGTGGACCTGCTTGGCTGCAGCAAATCTCAGGTGTTCGGCTCATGGCTGTCCTGTCCCCAGCCTGCTTCTCTTACAGCAGACATGGGCCGAACTCCCTGTTCTGTACAGCTCCCTGCTCACTCACCAGCTCTTTTTGGTTGAGTTTCACAGTCGCTTCAGCATGACAGTATCACTCTGATTTCTTTGTTCACAAAGTCACTGCGTACACCCGCAAACACATGGTCCGGCCTCAGCTCCTCTTTTCAAAGAGGTTCTGTGTGGCCCCAAAAAAGCACAAAATTTCTCAGGGATGACCACAGCTCTGCCACTGCCTTGACAGTTTTAATGTTTCTTTCTGGATCTCTTCTGGATGGCGATGGCAGGGTGCTCTCACTGCTTCCTCCAGTGCATCTCAACCTCAGGCAGGCCTGCTCCCACTGCAGTGCCTCTGGAGCCAGCCCACCCTGGCTGTCTCTCTCAGCCCCTGAAGCTCAAGGCTCCTGAGTCAGATTGTAGTCACACGGTTACCGTGGTGCCTGGGGCCCGGGAGGCAACAGGCCCTCCACCGTAAGTATTGCAGTCTATGACATTCCCCAAAATGTCTCCCACCCCAGATCTCTACAGCTGGAAGTACCAGACTGGGCAACAGCTCTAGCAGCTGCTCTGCCAGGAACTGCCAGACTGCTAGTGTGCCCTGCAAACAGGCAGGCTCTTGCCCACTCACATACTCATGTGCGTACACACTCATGCATGCTCTCACTCACTCACTCTCAGCTGGATTTTTGAGTGGATTGCTCTGCAATTTCGCTGTAAGACTGGTTTGGATCTGGGAACAAGTGGATGGAGCTTCCAGCTACTCCACACACATGTTAGATCCTGTTGTTTCACTGTTTTTGCAGTCATTGGTTACCTCTTGTGTGTGTGCTGAAAAGGGATCTATACCACAACTTTGATGGATACGGACAACACTAATCAACAGAGCTTCCTGGCCAGGGCTCTTGAAAAATGTTTCCAAAACTTATTTTTTTTCCGGTTATTTTGGTGTTCTCATTATACACATTAGTTAGTGGAGCCTTTTGGGCTCTTCGTTGAAGTGTTTACTGATTATCTCTTTCCCAAGCTGCGGTTGTTTCCTGCTAGTTGATTCTTCTTTTTCTCCTTTCCTTTTTCCTTTGTGACATGTTTAAGACTCTTTCTGCAAAGTGTATAGCTATCCCGCTTGAGCTCTTGTACTTACTGCTGACTCTCCAAGCCAGCATCAGTCACTGCCTCCATTAGGAATCCAGTACTAGATGGTGTAAATTCTTGAGGTTTAATCCAGTTTGTTTTTTCTTCTGCAGAGTGTTTAATGGGAACAGTGGGTACTCTCCTGCTTGAAAACCCATTTGGACAGAATGGACTCACCTATGAAGGTCTTCTATATGAAGCAGCCAAGGTGTTTGGCCTTCGCAACAAGAAGTTAAAGCTATTTCAGGATGAGGCTCAAATGAATGGTGAGGAGATTGTACGACATAATACATTTTTGGTTTATTTTTTCTTTTGCTAGAAGTAGATGTGATACCAGTAACCAATTATAGTTAAATGTGAGAGATAGTACTTTTACCTCTTTTTTTCTCTTTCTCCAGAAATTTTCCATAATACAGTGTTTAAAAACTATTTAAGAGGGTGATTGCCTTTTGCTTTTGAGAGAATCTAAAAATTATATTGGTATGTTATTAAAAATACACATTAGGATAAAAGTAGATTTACAGTTATAAGTACACAAAACATTTTCTTATTTATTAATTATGGTATTATTTTCCATAAGAACAAGTGTAAACCTGTTTTGCCCTGTGTATGCTTCTAGGATAATTAGCATATTTGCTGATTCTAAATTGTTCTCTTCCCCTAGAGTCAAAATGATCACATTATTGTAAAATGACAGCATGAGGGAATCCTATAACTGACTTTGTCCCTCCTCCATTATAAAGCTTATAAAGCAGGCTTACATGCATTTTTTCGATGAGTTGCATCAGAATGAATCGCTAGGTCATCAGTCAACATATTTACCACCCAATAATTCAGAAAACAGAGGGTCAGTATGATGGCTTGCACAACACACAGGCTAGCGTCTTCAAGGATATGTTTTCTCTACATCTCACACTTACCTTTACATCATCCACTTCTACAATACCACTTCTCTGTCTGTGCTGACAACTTCTCTATTGACATCTTACCCTTCCCTCTATGTTCTGGTCTGAACCCCTTACACACTGGACATCATTTCCCTGAAAAGTTTACAGTGGGTTCTGGCTTTGTTTTGTTTTTTGTTTATTTGCTTAATATCTGTCTTTGTCATCCCAACTCAAAACTTTTTACCATTCCATCCTTTAATCTATATAGCCTCATAGCCTGAGATTTATTAGACTTTCTGAATCAGGATTTTTGTTGTGTCTTCTAGCATTGATGGAAAACTGGCAGACATTATCTTTCCCTCTTTAATTTTTCTGCAGAATGAATATGATATGCCTAGGTTTAGATTTTTTCATATAAGGCATTCTTCATTTCTGTTGCATTGTTTTGATTTCTAAAATTTTCTTTTAATTCTTTCTTAGTCTCTATTTGCTTATATTGCCCATCTGATTTTGCATGTTATCACTCTTCATTAGAGTCCTAGCATATTAATTCTATTTATTTTAAATTCCCAGTCTACTAATGGCAGAATGATGCTTACTTTTTCTCTTCCTACTGTTTTGCTGTTGGTAGTGGTGGTGTTGGGTTTGTTTTGTGGGGTGTTTCTTTTTTTTTTCAGTTTGGGGTTTTGTTGTTTTTGTCAGGGGCCAGTTATCTTTTAGAATGCCTGGGTGTATTTGTTGATTGTTCAACATGATGTACTAGGGAAATAGAACTGGGTTAAAGGGGACCTTTGCTGTTCTTTCAGTGGTAATCCAGTTGATCATATAGGAGGTCACATAATATCTTGGTAAGATATGGAAGGAGGGGGAATGGAAGGTCTTCTAGAGTTTTATCATTATGTGTCAGTCTTTAGAAGGTATGTGACCTGGGCCTGTGACCTTCACAGATGTTTCTCTGCATTTTAGTTTTCTTTTTTCTTAAAGTGAGAAAGGAAGGCTATAAGGGGCTACAGTTGGGTATTTTCCTTCCCCTGAGTAAATTAGACTCTGCTTAAAAGAGTAAAAATTCAAAAACATTACGGCCTAGGAAGGTCTTCAGCTATTTTGACGGATTCTTTTCTGAAAGTCATCTTTTTTTTCCCCTCATTTTCTTCATTCAGTGACATCTTTTGTGTTTAGCTGATTCTTTATAGTTTACTCTTTTGATTTTCCTTTGACTTCCTTTAGTGTGTTTTTTTAGGTATTTTCTTAGTGTTAACCACAGGGATTACAACTAACATTCTAATTTATAACCTAGTTTCAGTTGATACCAGTTTTACTTTTAATAGCTTACAAAAGTTCTGCTCTTATTCAGCTCTGCCCCCATTATATTCTTGTCAGAAAATATACTATACATAAATATAAATGTAATATTAATTGTTCTGTATGTTTATCTTTTAAATCATATAGAAAATAGAAAGCTGCCCTGGCTGATGTGGCTCAGTGGATTGAGCACCAGCCTGCAGATCCAAAGGTCACCAGTTTGATTCCCAGTCAGATCACATGCCTGGGTTGTGGGCCAGGTCCCCAGTTGGGGCATGTGAGAGGCAATCAACCTATCAATGTTTCTTTCTTCCCCTCTCTCCCTCCCTTCCCCTCTGTAAAATAAATAAAATTTTCTTAAAAAGAAAACAAAGCAGAGTTACAAACCAACAATGCAATAACCATACAACTGTGAGTCACTGTGTAGCATCCTTGAATTTCAAATAGAAGAACTTCCTTTATCATTTTGGGGGACACATTTAGCAATAATGAACTTACTCAGCTCTTCTTTATATTGGAATCTTTTAATTAGTCTTTAATTTTGAAGAATAGTGTTTGCCGATAGAGATTTCTGTGTGGATAGTTTTTCAGCACTTTAAATGTGTTATCCCACTGCTTTCTGGCTTCCGTGGTTTCTGACTAGCAATTGGCTGTTAATCTTATTGAATATTTCTTATTGTTTTTAGTATGTGGTCATTATTTCTTCAAATGTTCTATCTTTTTTTTCTCCTTCTGAAACTCCCATAATGTGTATTTTGGTCCACTTGACTGGATGATTTCAAATGTCCTATGTTCAAAATCACTCATTCTTCTGCCTGCTCAAATATGTTTAGTCCCTCTAGTGAATTTATTTTCAGTAGTTTTTCTCAACTCCAGAATCTCTATTTAGTTTTTTTCTACAATTTCTCTTTATTGATGTTTTTGAATTGTCGATGCATTGTTTTCTTGGATTTCTTTAATTCTTTGTGGTTTCTGTTGGCCTTTCCATTGGTTCATTGTTTTCCACATCATAAGAGTGTTGCTCTAGAGTATTTCTATGTGCAAATATTTGTGCTTTAAAGTACAGCTATTGTCAATTATTCTTTTCTCTGAATGAACTATAACGTTCCTGTTTCTTTGTATGCCTTGGGATATTTTTGTTGTTGAAAACTAGACATTTGAATACTGTATTGTGGTAACTCTGGAAATCAGGTTCGCCTCCTCACAAGGGTTTGCTGTTTCTGATTTTTGAAAGCTGTAATTGTTCATTTGTTTTATGACTTTGTCAAACTTCTATACACACACACACCCCAAGACTATATTCTTTGATATGTGTAGTCACTGAAGTCTGTTCCTTTAGCTTGGATTCTACTACTGTATGACAGAGATTTTCTTGACTTCCAGGAGCTAAAGGCTTAAAAACAAAATACCCACTTCTCCCAATTTTGGGGATTAGCTTGTGCTGGGGCACTCTCATTCATCATAGCCAGGCTATTTACAACCCTGCCTCAGCCTTCAATTTATGTTTTCACTGAGCCTGGAGAACAGCCAGATTTGGCCAGAAAAACCTTTTACCTTTTTCAGAATTGAAAGCTTTGGCTCTACTCGGGTCTCTTCTCTGTATACATTCTGGCCAAGATGTACATGTGGCTTTCTAAAATTACCCAAGATATATGGGCAATATTTAATGCCCCAATTATCCAAAGAAACTGTCTCCTGCTTCTCCTCCCAGTGTTAAGCAGTGTATGTTTCCATCATAATTTTTTGTTACACGTAGCTGTGGGCTTTTTTTTTTTTGCCTTTCAGTGTTTTTAAACAATACCTACAACTTCCTGCCCTGAGTTAGTTCCAAGTTAAATGAAACAAAGAGAAGCCTCTTATGTAAGTTTTTCAGATAGCCCCCAGACATGTTAGAACAAACAGGTTTTTTTTCTCTGTTCCTTCTAGAAATAGGTGCCAGGGTCTTACACTGGGAACACAGGCTGCTGTCTTCAAGCCCACCACCAAGCTAAGAGGGAGCTTGACACACATTCTTGTTTCTCATGCATTTTCACTGTATTTTTCCTCTGAAAATGGTTTTTTATAAAATTAATATTTTGGTAGATTAGAAGGATGACATAATGCTTACAGTTTGAAAAACTCACTGATGCCTTTTTGATTCTTCCACTAGATTCTAAACATCATCTTTACATCCTAGAGTTATCTATTAAGGAAGCAACTTCAGAGTATTTTTGCACCGAGAATTTTTTCGAGGATAAGAGTTATTTTTAGTGAAAGTTTATTCTTCCCTTTGAATTCAGATCTGACTAACTGCAAAGTTCCCTGAAGCAGGCAAAGAACTTTTAAAATATATTTTTCTCTCTCTTTTTGAGTTTTTATATATTCATTGTTAATCAATAGTGTTTGTGTTATACTTTGTATATTCAAATTTTTTATCTTTGGTCATATTGGCTCATATATTCTTTGACATGAACCCTTCATCTTTTTCTTTAATTATTTTCTGATATTTTAAGGTGTGTCCTAGGCTTACCACGTACTCTTCCCTAGATTTGGGAATAACTGTTCTTCATTGTGTTATAGGAAGCTAATATTTAGAAGCCACAAATCTAGACTACTGGCTTAGTTTTGCTCCAGCCTTTTCTGTAGATAGAGGAAATATCTTGTGGAGTGGTATGGAGGGCAGGGTATGGGGACATTTTGAACAACACCCAGAGTTAGTAGGTTGAGGGCACAGTCCTTCAAAACTTTAAACAAAGACTGGAACCCCAGACGTAAGAAGTTAGGGTTCAGCCCTGGCTGGTGTAGCTCAGTGGATTGAGCGCGGGCCTGTGAACCAAAAGATTGCAGTTCAATTCCCAGTCAGGGCACATGCCTTGGTTACAGGCCAGTTCCCTGCAAGGCACACACAAGAGGCAACCACACATTAATATTTCTCTCCTCTCCTTCCCTTCACCTCTAAAGATAAATAAATAAAATATTAAAATAAAAGAAGTTAGGCTTCAACTGAAACTCAGAGGGAGGGCTTCACACAAGACCACTGTTACTTCTGGCACCAAGTACAAGTTCAGAGGATTTCCCAAAACCATTCTCAAGTTTATTGATTTACTAGCAAGTTTCACAGAACTACATTTCTTATAGGACAAGGATAGAACCTTGAACCCCTCCTATATTTGGCCCTGCACATCCCAGGAAGAGATGTGCAGGGTCAAATATGGGAGGGGTCCAAACACAGAGTTTCAGTTGTCCTCCTTCAAGGAGTCATGGGCAGTGTTACCTCCTTCTGACACCAATGCCTGTTGGTACGTACACTTTAATTAATTGGAAAATTTCTCTGGGTAGTAACCATGACTTTCTCAGAAAGTTCTATGGGTTTAGAAGTTCCCCAGGAGCTGGGACAAATTCAGACCTCTGTTTAGGTTGAGGCCAAACTCATTGATTCTTAGCCAGTTAACACTTTAAAAATATTCAGAATAGGTAGAAAATTTATTTCTTTTTCTTGTTTTTATTCTAGAAATTACAGAAAAAATCCCCATGAAGACTTTGAACATGAAGACTGTGTATGTTTCTGTATTTCCCACATCATCTGACTTCTAACATTTTGTTATCATTGAGGTTCGGTTAACCTTTCCCTGGCATGTATCTGTTCCTACACACATACACACACACATATATACATGTAAATAGACATATATTGAAGATACTTCTTTCAGGTACATGGGTATAATATGCTGCTTTTGGCCTAAATTAGAAGTGGGATTGATTCATCGTGTAGCTTGAGAAGGTTACAATGTTACCACCGCACTAGAGTTTATTTCTATACTTGAATTCTTAGTTATAGAAGGTAGAAGTGACTACAATGGAATAATATATGTCATTCTGTGGTTTTTTAAAGCTTGTTGAAAGAATGAATAACTCTGCACTTTCCTGGGGAATTTCATGGAATATTTTATTCCACTAAAACAAAACAAAAAAAATAGCTTTCTCTCAGATGATAAATAAGTTAAAAGGAATTTATTCTTCTATATTTTAATGAAACTTGAAACTTATTGTCTTCAAAGGCCAGTTCAAAAACTTAATAGTGACTTCTATATTAAAACAGTGGACTGAACATCTTATTTTACTTCTGCCCAAAATCCTGTGTGTCACAGAAGCAGCAACCAAGACAAAATTGGATGTTCAAGATTTATTGGGGGAAACATACATGAAAAATAAAGGGGAAAGGGCGCAAGCATAGGTAGAGGGAACCTTTAGACTACAATTTAGGTTTGGCACCTGTGAAAAGTTAAGAGGGAAAAAGGGAAATTGATTAGAAAAAGCCAAGACTACTGTGCAACTCTCAGAAAATCTTGATCAGGCCAATTAAAGTCCCCAGGTAGGGATCCAAAAATGAAATAAAGAGTTTAGAGTTTGGTAGAAATAACTTGTCTTTGTATCCCTACATCATTTATTCCGTGGCTTGGAACAGCCCATGGTGGGCATGCTTTCAGCATAGATCTCTCAGTGGAATTGAAAGTGTAGTAACTGGAAACTATCAACCAGCTATGCTCCTTACATCAGATTTTCCTGAAGGAAGATCTGAATTTGTGTGACTCTGGCTGCTACAATAACTATTCAAATGCACAAATGTGGAATAAACAAGCAGAAAGTAAGTGTTGGCAAGGATGCAGAGAAGTTGTACCTTTATGCACTGTCTGTGGAAATATAAAATGGTGGTGGTGGGAATGTAAAATGTTGCATTCACTGTGGAAAACAATATGGAGATTTCCTCAAAAAATTTTTTAAAAAGTGTCATATGATCCAACAGTCCCACTTGGACATATTTTCCAAAGAATTGAAAGCAGGCTTTTGAAGAGATATTTGCAGACCCAAATTCATTACAGTATCATTCATGACATCAAAGAGGTGGAGCAAATGTGAAATGTACCTAATTTTAATAGTATCAGTTGTTCGTTGAAATCACAAAAAGGATGAATGCTGTATGAAGTACCTAGAGTAGTTAGACTCATTGAAACAAAATACAGTGATGGTTGCAAGGAACTGCAGGTATACAGAAATGGAGGGGAATGTCAAAATGGAATAGTTATTTTGCAGGTGGAGGAAGTTCTAGAAGTCATTTGCACAAAAGATGAATATAGTTAATGCTACTAAACTGCTTTAAAAATATTTAAGTTACTTTTTTGTAATTTTTGCTGCTTTTTTTTATCAAAGGAACAAAAGCCAACCAAAAATAGAAAAATTTGAAAAACAACAGCAAAAACTTAGTATTGGATTAAAATTCAAAGTATGGTATTGTTCTCCACGCATATTCTTATCTGCAGTTTTGCTTTTTTATGGTTTCAATTTATACAGTGAAAGTGGTTAACACAGTTTGAAAATATTAACTGGAAAATTTCAGAAATAAACAGTTCATAAAGTTTAATGAAATCTTGCCATCTGCAACACCATGGATGGACCTAGAAGATACTGTGCTAAGTTAAATAAGTTAGACACTGAAAGACAGTTTCTTATGATTTTATCTTAATTTGCTCTGTATAATGCACACTTTTTGCTCAGATTCTTGAGGGACAAATAAGGATGCGCATTATACATGGGTAGTCCTAGTTCCACATCTCTATAAATGTTTTTAATTGTTTCATTTGTGCTTATGCATTGAAAGTGTAACTCTAGCCCTGGCTGGTGTAGCTTAGTGGATTGAGCACAGGCCTGCGAACCAAAGGATCCCGATTCCATTCCTAGTCAGGGCACATGCCTGGGTTGCAGGCCAGTTCCTGGCAGAGGACACACCAGAGGCAACCATACATTGGTATTTCTCTCCCTCTCTCCTTTCCTTCCCCTCTAAAAATAAATAAATAAAATCTTTTTTAAAAAAGTATAACTCTAGAAAGCAATGACAATATCTGTATGCAAAATACTACCCTGGAATGCAATAATCTGTTTCATGTCTAATATAAATGAATGAATCAATCAAATTAATTTAAACAAGGTTTTCTTTCCTGAAAGTTTGGGCCCCAAACATGAGTGTGCATTATACACAGGAGTGCATTAAACACCATAAAGTACAGTATATTTGGAATCTGAAAAAGAATAAAACAGAAAGACTCAGATACAGGGGACATTTTGGAGGGCAGTTAGAGGAAATGGCAAAAAGATAAAGGGATTAAGACTTACAAACCAGTAGTTACAGAATAGTCACAGGGATTTAAAGTATATCATAGGAAATATAGTCTGTAATATTATAATACCTGTGTATGGTGCCAGGTTGGTGCTAGACTTCCAGGTAATCACCTCATAAGTTACATAAAGGTCTAATCACTGTGTTGTACACTTGAAATTAATATAATTGCAGTATGTCTATTATAATTGAAAACTAAAAATTACTTTTAAAAAACAAATTGTTTCAAATTGCACACCATCCTGAGTAGGATAATGAAATCTTGAGTCGTTCCCCTCTGTCCCTTCCAGTATGTGAGTCATCCCTTTATTCAGAATATCCATATATAGATGCTACCTGTCCATTAGAGGCCAGAAACAAGTGGCATGATGTTTTGTAGGTGGGTAAGGAAAAAAACCTCAAATGCAAATTTCCTATTTACTTCCATAATTAAGGGGTTATCAACACATTTTCAGACAATGGAAACCAATTTGTCACTAGAAGACCTAACACTAAAGATTGGCTAGAGGCAGTTATTCAAATAGAAAAGTATTAAAGAACCTTGAAAATAAAAAAGACCAAGAGGAAGAGCAAAAATGTGGGTACATAATAATGGGCTATCCTTTGTGAGTTTTATAAATCATTTAATGATTGAAACAATACACCATCTTATACTCAAGTGAACGATATTTAAAAGTGTGTAAATGGAAGTAAAGTTTTACTAAATTTATTCAAAGGGGTAGAATGTTCATACTTGACTGTGATATTATATATGTATATTGTAATACACAGCAACCAGGATACAATGAGATAAAGTCAGGCACTAGAATTAAATCAAGACGGGTATTTAAAATGTACAAGTACCCCACAGGCAATAAGAAAACAAATGAGAACTAGAGGAAACAAAAAAGTTGGTCAGACATAAGCACTAACCTATCATTAATTAACCTGAAGTGTAAATGATCAATATATGCTAATCAAAAGGATGGCAGAGTGGATTAAACACCATGATGCAAGTGTATGTTTACAGGAATCTCATTTCAGATTCACTTCAGCATATATGTAGATTGAAATTAAAAGAATGGAATAAATACCATGCAAACATTCTTTAAGAAATGAAAAAAGCCTCACTGGTATAGCACAGTGGGTTGGGTGCCATCTTGCAAACAGAAAGGCTGCCAGTTCAATTCCCAGTCAGGGCACATGCTTGGGTTATGGGCCAGGTTTCCAGATGGGGGCATGTAAGAAGCAACCAATGGATGTTTCTTTCACTTTTCTCCCTTCCCTTCTCACTAAAAATATTGTTTAAATTATAAAAGAAACAAATGGCTGTATTAGTACCTAATAACATAGACTAAAGGAAGTAAAAGTGCTAGACATGAAGAGGGACACTGATAATGAAGTCAAACTAGTGCAGGGGTATCAAACTCATTTTCACTAGGGGCCACATCAGCCTCGCAGTTGCCTTCAAAGGGCTAAATGTAATTTTAGGACTGTGTAAATGTAAGTACTCCTCAACTAGGGGCAAGGAATTTGGCGCTGCCTCCAGGAAGAAACAAAGGGGGCAGGCCAGATTAAACAAGGTAGAGGGCCAGATTCACCCTGTGGGCTTTGTGTTTGCCACCTGTGTCTTAGACATAATAAATCTAAATGTGTGTACATGAAATAACGACCTCAAAATGTTTGCAACAAAAGTGATGGAACATAATAGAAAGCCCAGAAATAAATCCCTGCCTTTATACTCAATATTTGATAAGTGAGTCAAAAACAATGGGCTAAAGGTAGTTTACTAAATAAATTGTAAAGTTGTACAGGCACATACAGAGAAAATGAAAGTAGATTACCTTATGCCACACATAATAATTAAAATATACTAAAGACTTAAATGTTAGATTCAAAACCATAAATATTCTAGAAGAAAACAGAAGTAGTGAAATCTCAGACATTTCTTGTTGCAATATTTTCTGGTATATCTGGCTCTTCAGACAAGAAACAAAAACAACTGGGACTACATAGAACTAAAAAGTTTTTGCACAGCAAAGGAAACCAACAAAATTAAAGACAACCCACTGAATGGGAGAACACATAGATATATCTGATAAGGGGTTAATATCCAAAATGTATTAAAAGTTTAGAAAATTCAACACCAAAAATTAAATTTACAAAAATGGGCTGAGGATCTGAATAAATACTTATCCAAAGAGAAAATACATATGTTGCCAGCAGACATGAAAAGATGCTCAATGTCACTTATCTGAGAAATCACCTCACCCCTGTCAGAATGGCTATCATAAATAAATCAAGTGTTGGTGAGGATGTGGAGAAAAGAGAACTCTGATGCAGATTTGTGCAGCCACTCAGGAAAGCAGTCTGGAGTTGCCTCAAAAAAATTAAAAATTGAACTGTTTTATGACCCAGTGATTCCACTTCTGATAATTTATCCAAAGAAACTCAAAACACTAATTTAAAACCATAGTTTCCTCAGAACACAGTGGAGTCAAAACTGGAAATCAGTATCAGAAAATAAAAAGCCCTAAACATCTGAAAAATTATGTACTTTTAAATAATTTGTGTCTCATGAAGAATTTTTAAAAGATATTTAACGTCACCCTATTTTGTACCTACCATTTATGCTTCTTATTCCCTGTACTTTTTTCTGCTGATAACCCTCCATGTGATGTCTATTTCTGTGAATCTATTCCTGTTCTAGTTGTTTCCTTAGTTCATTTTTTGCTTTTGTTTTTTTAAGTTGTTAATAGTTGTGATTTTAGACTTCCACCAAGATGGAGGCATAGGTGGATGTGCCGTGCCTTCTCACACAACCAAGTTTAGAGACAACTAAATATTAGCAACAGAAAACACAGCCAGAACACGGAAATTTGAACTTTTCGGAAGTCCGTTAACAACAAATTCTTCAGCCTGACCGGTAAGGGGCGAAACCAGCAGCTGGTGAGGGGTTGCACAGGAGGACTCGGTCAGGCGGAATCCAGGTGCAGGGTTGGACCTAGTGAGCGACCGAGCGAGCCACCAGGCGAGCGACAGCAGAGGAGAAAGCGGGGAAGCGGTGCTGCGTGTTGACTGTGGTCGCCCATCTGTGCGCGAGCAGACAGGCGAGGGAGTGGGCGGTTGGACCAGGCCCAGCGGTCCCCGTGGCAAGCGGCAGTAGAAGGCACCGCCATTTCCCCACTCTGACCATGCCCCCACATACAGCGTCACAACCCAGCGACCTGGGAGTCCAAGGTTCCCCTCCGCACACTTAAAGGGCCAGAACAGACCAAAAATAGCTCAAGAAGATCTCAAAGCCCCAGAGCCTATAAATCTAAGTGATGAAGAAAGCAAAACTCTCAGACGCACAGTTTAAAACACTGGTCATCAGGATCCTCACAGAACTGGTTGATTATACCAACAAATTAGACAAATATATGAAGGCGAAACTAATTGAAATGAATGGCATTGCACAGGATACCAATAGCAATGAAAAGGAAACTGGGACTCAAATCAATGGAGTGGACCAGAAGAAAGCAAATAATGGCCAAACAGAAAAGAGTCAGGAAGCAAGAATTCAAAGAAATGAGGAGAGTCTTGGGAACCTCCAGGACATCTTTAAATGCTCCAACATCCGAATTATAGGGGTACCAGAAGGGGGAAAGGCACAGCCACCAGTGGAAAACTTATTTGAACAAATAATAAAGGAGAATTTCCCCAATCTGGCAAAGGAAATACACTTCCAGGAAATCCAGGAAGCTCAGAGAGTCCCAAAGAAGTTGGACCCAAGAAGGAACACACCAAGGCACATCATAATTATATTAGCCAAAATTAAAATGAAGGAGAGAATCCTAGAAGCAGCAAGAGCTAAGGGGACAGTCACCTACAAAGGAGTCCCCATCAGACTGTCAGCAGATTTCTCAAAAGAGACCTTACAGGCAAGAAGGGGCTGGAAAGAGGTATTCCAAGTCATGAAAACCAAAGACCTACAACCAAGATTGCTCTATCCACCAAAACTTTCATTTAGAATGGAAGGACAGATAAGGTGCTTCTCAGATAAGATCAAATTCAAGGAGTTCATCATCAGCAAGCCCTTATTATATGAAATGTTAAAGGGACTTATCTAAGAAAAAGAAGTTAAAGAAACATGAACAGTGAAAGGACAGCAAACTCACAGTTATTAACAACCACACCTAGAACGAAAGCAAACTAAAAGGACAGCTAGATCAGGAGTGGAAACATAGAAATGAAGATCTCAAGGAGGGTTAGCAACAGGGGAGTGGGAGGAGGAGAAGGGGGGAGAAGGTACAGAAAATAAATAGCATAGACAGTAGATAGAAAATAGATGGGGCAAGAATAGCATGGGAAATATAGAATCTAAAGGACTTGAGACACATGGTCATAAACTAAAGGGAGGGGGATGGGGGGGTAGGGTGGAGGGGAATGAAGGGGGGAATAGAACAACTGTAACAGCATAATCAATAAAAAAATTAAAATAAAATAAATAGTTGTGATTTTGTTGTCATTTTACTGTTTGTACTTTTTATCTCTTTTTAGATAAATCCCTTTAACATTTTATATAACAAGAGTTTGGTGATGATGAGCTCCTTTAACTTGACCTTATCTGGGAAGCACCTTATCCACCTTTCCATTCTAAATGATAGCTTTGCTGGACAGAGTCATCTTGGATATAGGTCCTTGCCTTTAATGACTTTGAATACTTCTTTCCAGCCCTTCTTGCCTGTTAAGGTTTTTTTTGAGAAATATGCTGATAATCTTATGGGAACTCCTTTGTAGGTAACTGTTAATGATGATGTGCTTGGTGTGTGCTTCATGGGTCCAAGTTCTTTGTGATTCTCCAAGCTTCCTGGACTTCCTGGAAGTCTGTTTCCTTCGCCAGATTAAGGAAGTTCTTCATTATATTTTCAAGTAAGTTGTCCATTTCTTGTTCTTCCTCTTCTACTGAGGTCCCTATGATTCAGATGTTAGAGCATTTAAAGTTGTCCCAGAGGTCCCTAAGCCATTCCTCATTTTTTCGAATTTTTGTTTCTTCATTCTGTTGTAGTTGAATGTTTATTTCTTCTGCTCCAAATCATTGACTAGAGTCCTAGGTTCCTTTCCTTCACTGTTGGTTCATTGTACATTTTCCTTTATTTCACTTTTCATAGCTTTCACTTTTTCCTCTATTTTGTGACCATACTCAACCATTTGTGAGCATCCTGATTACCAGTGTTTTGAACTTTGCATCTGATAGGTTGGCTGTCTCTTCATCGCTTAGTTGTATTTTTTCTGGAGCTTTGATCTGTTCTTTTCACTTAGACCATATTTTTTTTTTGTCTTAGCATGCCTGTTTTTTAGTAAGAGTCAGAGCCTTAGGTATTCACCAGGGCAGGGCAACCCATGTTGCTGCACTGTGACACTGTATGTGGGGAAGGGTTCCAAGAGGGAACAATGTTGTTTTCTGGGCTTGGTCAGTTTTCAGTCATTTCCACCACTACCCACAAGCAAATTGGGCCCATCTGGTGCTGATTCCTGGGTGGGTAGTTTTGTGTATGTTCTAGGACCCTGTGGATCTCACCAGTGAAGTCTCCTGTGAGGCTGGGAGTTCTCTGCTGCTGCCTCAACCCCCATAGGTTTTTTTCAGCCAGAGGTTTTGAGGCTTTATTTCCTCCCACTGGAACCCTGGGTTGTGCGGTGTGTCTTCCTCCCTAGTAGTTAGCCCTTGTTTATCCGCACCCAAATGTGGGACCACTTGCCCCACCAGCCACCACCTTGCCTGCCACAATCCTCCATCTATTTCCTTACAGTCATTCCTCTCCACCCTGGCTGCTTGTCTCTTCCCATCCTACCGATCCAGGTGAATCTTCTTCACCTCCTTGATTATCAGACTTCCATACAGTTCAATTTTCTGTCAGTTCTGGGTTTTTTTGGTTTCTAAATTTATTGGCCTTTTGGATAGGAGGCAAAGTGTATCTACCTCCATCTCCATCTGGGCCAGAAGTCTCATGAGAAATTTTTTAAAGACATTAATA